GTAAACCGGCATAGTCTTCTTTGTTGTTGCGATTAGTTAACTGATGAGAAACATTTTTTGCTTTGTTCTGCCAACATGACATTTTCAGGTCCGTTACTTTAATAAGTTTTCTATGTACGGCCTTATGCTAAGACATTACAGAACTGTAAGTCTGCTTCTTTATCGCATAATTTTATCGATCGCTACTTCCTTGGAATATGCCGTCTGAAGTTATCAGATTTTACTTTAACACCTAGCGTCCTGAAGTGTTCAGCCGTCACGAAATGGAAAATATTGCCTCGACTACGGCTTCCATAGGCTGGCCAAATGATAGAAACGGTCAAAATGAGCAGGTTTGCGAGTCTACACATAATTACTTAGCAGTGTGCTCTCAATAGACGAATTCCCCCACACATAGCACTGCCTAATATTCGTCAACGAGCAGTCATTCACCCAAATGGTGGCTCTCCAAAGTAGATGGTTGTGAATTTAGGCGTTTTTCTGCGCATCCTGGGGCCCTATCCACCTTGGCTTTACAATGTTTTGTCAATATAACACGGCAACCTGCTCAACTTAACACACTCGCACACACGTCTCTTTAAGAAACATTTTGCTGTGCAATCTCTCCTTAGAATATTAGGTATCTGCAGGCACTTTTGCGGGTAAGCACCAATGTGCTTATATCATTTCCACTACAGGTTTGATTCTTGCACATCCACCCCTAGACTATTTGTTAATAATTATAGTACATCAATTAATGACATTCATTTTGATATGGGTTCATATGTAACACATAGGTATGTTCGATGGTTGAGCTCATGTCATTGTTACCTAGTTTGATAACCGCACGAATTCCAATGGTTATATTTCGTCATATGTCTTCTATTCATGAACATCGTTTTAGTTGAGTGTACAAGAAGAAGGCGATATGTGCATGTTCGGACGACGCATGAATGAGTTAACTTGTTTTGTGGCCAAAAGCAACCAGCCGTACTGTTTGCGAAAAGTATAAGTGGAAATATCCAAAGATATCCTTTCGAAAATGAGCGGAAATACGTGGACCATGCGAATAACATCAGACCCAGTTATTCGATCATTAAAGCTCAATTCGAATAGAGCGTAGCCGAGGATGTCATCGTAAATTAAATTAACCGACTCCGAGTCTTCTTCCCCGAGATGCCATTTGGTGGGTTCAGGCTGATTGTTTCATGAGAGCGTGTAATAATTCAAACAGACACGAAAACATTATATAGTAATGGTTAGTCTAAATTTTAAAAATCACCATTCATTGGAATGAAGCAAGGGAATGCTAATGTGGTTGCGCAATGTTGTGCACGACCATTCGAACAGATTTCACACATGAAAGTCCACGCATAAATGCCTAAGCTACATGGATTGCTGAGTTAAATGCAAAAATCACGAGGATATTATTTCAGATCCTTAAGTTTATTGATTATGAGACTAGGCAATAAGTTGGGTTGATCTGGGGGGCGTTTCGATTGCTGCTACTACAGGCTACGTCGTACAAAAATATTCCGAAAGGCAAATTCTCGGAAGCGTGCGTTTAATCTCAAAGCCTGTTTAGAATTCAATGATGTGGAAATATTTTAAACTTGGGCGAAACATGGCTTAAAAATCCAAAACTTGAGTAACTGGGTAAACATCATGCCCGTACGGTGTTTAAAAAAGTAAGTTCAATCCTAGGAAATGTAACATTGCAAAAGACGTTGTATTTCCTTGAAGACTTCGACGCGTAAGTGAGGCATCCCAGCGTACTGCCCATTTCGACAAAAACCAGACTGCACTCTGTTTTTCCAAATTCATTCTGGAAGGCAGGCAGTCCAACTGTAGCCAGCCTGCTAAGCAAATAATGAAAGGGGTTGTCAAAGTTCATATCTGGAGCATATCTATTGCAGCTGTTGCGCGGTCTAATATATGGACGTCCGAGTGCTGCAAAGAATAAAAGTAAATCAGTCACTAGAATTCAGTTTCGTAGTAGAGTTGTAGTATAGTCAGCACATAACCAGATATCAAACAAAGTATGTGCAAAAAAGTAATAAAACCGCATTTTACCACCACCAGTAAAATGCATAGCATTGCACTATCTGTGAAGTACTGCTTCTGAGAAAAAAATCTGCTACTAAATGACGCTCAAGGGATATCACGGTGACGAGATGGGAGAAAACCTAATAATTTGTACACATCTATCCTATCACACATTATTTGCATTATCACATCATGCACTGTAGGGCAGAAAATGCTTGACGTTCAAAGTAGGACCGTGCTGCTTTAGAAGAGAAATCGACTGTTATACCGGCAAAATGAAACATTATTTGAAGCAGGAACGAGGTTAGAAACGGCATCTTCCACACTGTGTAAACGGTGAACTCACAGCTGCTCGTACTTCACTAAATTTAAATAAACCTTCCAGAGAATCTGATTGGCAACCCAATTACAAATAGGCTGACGTCGCATTTTATGGCGTCAGCACACTTATTCAGATAGACCTTTATTTCGCTTAAGGATCCAAGTGACTAAACTCTTTAAACTGTCCACAATCCAAAATTCATTTTAACCCAAACACCTGCCTTTATTGATATATTTATGGGAAAGGACCTTCACCACTTTATATGGAAACATCGCGGTCCCGGCGCATTGAATGAACAGACGTTTCTTCATGACAGTGTGTGCTTTACTGTTATTAATTGATTAAACCAAGAGGAAGTCCCTAAACTGTACACACAACGATATGCATGACATCATCTGAAGTGCATCCGGCATACATTAGCTGAACGTTCACGCCACACAAGTCACTGCGTCCACCCTCAGCCCGAGTCAGCTTTACTCGGACAAAACTTTGGTTCATACAACAGGGGCTGAAAGAATGAGGTCGTTCCGGCTGTGTTTCAGTCCTAAGTATCCGCTATATAAACATTTATAAGTCCTGCATCACTACCACGGAATTGTGAAGGCGGCGGTTTGGAGGACTGTCCGCCGAAGGGGCAGCTAGGTGCTAGGGAGGACTTCAGCCCACGTAGCAGCGGGACCTTCCGAACATGACATCTGAAGGATCAGTGGACCCCTTCAAAAGGTTACTACTCAGTATAGATCTACGGGTAAACACAAGCTTGATACGCATATACTTAATCTAATACCTATCAACGTTTGCACGCAGCTTCATCTCAATAAAACTTACGGTCGTTTTGGCGTTTGAATAAGTCTGTTCTTTAGAAAGGGGATGGAGTACACGTTGTGTAAGTCTGCTCTAAAATGAAGAAATTCACACACAAGCCAAACCGCACCATCTGTGATACAGCAGTCCACACCATTTCTTGTGAAAAACAAACTTACCTATACACATTCCAGCCACTGGTGCCAATTTGAAATTTAGTACCGCTTTTTGCGCCACTTGAGGGTTAACACTTAAGATCAGATCAGTCTGGATTTCCAAATTGCATCCCAGAGATCCCAGAGGTGTTTGTTAACATGGAACTAGAGTGAAGATAAGGGAGAGGCTGTCACAGTTATTTCAGGGTTGTCGAAGGTCGCGCCTTATAATACTAATTTTATTTTATGCCAGTTTACAGGCACTGTCAGGGAAGCGTTAAACACAAATCCGGCCAGCAGTGGTCGAGACCGCACAGGTACTCGTTGCCTAGATAGGCAGCCTTGCTTGTAATGAGACCATATAGGTGGATGGGAGTTTTAATGTCTGAACGAGGGCGCGAGATCCCTGTTGTCTCAAGCTTTGGAGTTTCTCTTCAATCTAAGTGGACGAATGATAAACCAGAGCAGTCTGTGGAAACATTCCAAACCTCCGACTCGCCAGATCTACTATGAAATGTTAGGCGCGGTTGACATAAACAAGAACGAAACGTAGTGACACACAATAAGCCCACATATGAGAAGGAAATCAAAATGCCGACTGGGAAATATTTAAAGCCAAAATGTCGGGGGAACACAATGAATTCCTCAGACGCTAGTCTGATTGTAGAATAGCTGGTAAGCTAGCAGGAACAAACAACCTACCACTACTCTGATGATGGAAACGAGAAAGTTTCCGAAACGTCAGCACCAATACACTGTGCTCCATGGCATCGACTCTTTGTCTTCTTCGTATACTTTTGGGGATGAGGAACGTGATAATCTATCTGGACCTAGAATCTTCAATCACGTTGATATATATATCTATATATCAGAAGAAAAGGCGATCTCGGGAACCATAGTTTTACTGTCCTGTCGTTTCAAAAGCATACAAGCTTCCATCGTCGCAGGTGACTGTGGTATCGCGCCTCACAGTATTTATAGATGGACGACAGTCATGTCGAGACGGGTTTTGTTCATACATACGAAGTCAGGGCGGCAGGGAGGAAGGGGCGGGGAGGGAGTCCTAGAGCGTCTTCTCGCCGGATGAAGGGGGGGGGGGCGCAGTATCAGCTTTAGTGTTCAGCATCGCATGCACACAGGGACTGTGGCAGACGGGGGGGGGAGGGAGAGTGACGAGAAGTACTCAATCTACATCGGGGGCCGACGTTGAGACGTTGGTGGTCGTCGCCCGTATCTTCACTGACCTTAACTGTCGTCCAAAGCTGGCAATCTTGTTTACGTCGCAACGACTGTCCGTTTTCTCGTCCGCCGGACTAGTAGATGGAACGACGGTATATAGGAAGGTCACTAATACGCGCCAAATCCTGAGCTTCCACATTAAGCACCCGTTGTGCCACAAACGCAGTTGTGTGCGAACACTCTACAGAAGGGCAGAAACGCACTGCAGCGAGCCGGACGACAAAAAGTCAGAACTACGCTACCTCCAGCGCCTCTTCATGTCCAACGGGTATCCGCGCAACTTCATCGAACGCAGCAGACAGGCCGGACTGAGCCGACGTTTGGAAACAGAACGGCCAAAAATATGACGGGCGCTTCCATACATCGATGGCGTTTCTGAGGCGGTCTCCCGTCTCTTAAGACCGCTGGGGATCGGCATCGCCCACCGACCGGAGTCAACAATTCGACATCTGGTCATGAGACCTAAGGCCCCTCTGCCACCAGGTGAAACCACGAACGTCATCTACCGGATCCAGTGTAACTCCTGTGAAGCCAACTACATTGGGGAGACGGGCAAACGACTACAGACCCGTGTTGGAGAACACATGAGGGCAGTAAGGCGAATGGACCCTTTGTCTCTGGTGGCCGAACACTGCGGCGATTCCGGACACACGTTCGCCTTTCAGCACGTCAAAATTCTGGGCCGAGGAAGCGACCGCATAGCCAGGGAAACAATCGAGGCTTGGCACACAGGGACAACCTCCATCAACCGTTGTGTGGCTCTTCCCGCTGTCTATCAAGCCCATCGAGCACAGCTCAGTAAACAAATGAGCAGACGTGAACCCAGGCTAAACACGAATCCAGACATGAGTGAGTCCATGGCGGATGCACACTCAGCCACCCCTCAACCTGGTTCCGACGAAGGCGCAGTCGTCACCACAGCCGTTCCATCTACTAGTCCTGCAGACGAGAAAACGGACAGTCGTTGCGACGTAAACAAGATTGCCAGCTTTGGACGACAGTTAAGGTCAATGAAGGTACGGGCGACGACCACCAACATCTCAACGCCGGCCACCGAAGTAGATTGAGTACATTCCGTCACGCTCCCTCCCCCCCCCCCGTCCGCCAGAGTCCCTGTGTGCATGCGTTGCTGAACACTAAAGCTGATACTGCCCCCCCCCTTCATCCGGCGAGAAGACGCTCTAGGACTCCCTCCCCGCCCCTTCCTCCCTGCCGCCCTGACTTCATATGTATGAACAAAACCCGTCTCGACATGACTGTCGCCCATCTATAAATACTGTGAGGCGCGATACCACACTCACCTGCGACGATGGAAGCTTGTATGCTTTTGAAACGTCAGGACAGTAAAACTATGGTTCCCGAGATCGACTTTTCTTCTGATTCATGTACGGGAACGCGCATCTTCGCTTCTATTTGCAATATATATATATATATATACTCACTCAGAAATTGGCGCACACCGATCCATTGGCTTCACGAAGCAAACAAACTTAGTATGGGCAATAGGGTTCACGAACATGCAACCACCTACCAGGCCGATGTCGGCCCAGCTATGATAGCAGAGGGGATACGACAGAGTCTATGGGGTAGATTGATACAGCACTGTTTCGGGCTTGTTTCCCTTCATTCAGCCAACCATAACCCTGACAACCATCTGGGACCGGAAACACAAACATGCGCACAAACGTTCCTGTCGCAGCGAGTCCACCACAGGGGTCTACCAGATGGGTCATAGGCACTTCATCGAAACGAAGTGCATCAGGGCCTCGCCACCTGCCATTCTCTGTCGATGAAGATCGGGTATTTATTCACTCAGGAATGGGCGCACACCGATCCATTAGCTTCTCGAAGCAAACAAGCTTCGTATGGGCGATAGGGGTCAAGAACAGGCAACCACCTACCAGGCCGAAGTCTGCCAAGCAACGATAGCAGAGTGGATAGGAGAGAGTCTGGGGGGGTAGACTGATACAGCACTGTTTCGGGCTTGTTTGCCTTCATTCAGCCAACCATAACCCTGACCACCAGCTGGGACCGGAAACACAAAAATGCGCACAGACGTACCTGGCTCAGTTGGTCCACCACTGGGGTCTACCAGATGGGTCATAAGCACTTCATCGAAACGAAGGTCATCAGTGCCTCGCCACCTGCCATTCTCTGTCGCTGCAGATCGGGTATTTATTCACTCAGGAATGGGCGCACACCGATTCATTGGCTTCTCGAAGCAAAATAGCTTAGTATGGGCGATAGGGGACACGAACAGGCAACCAACTAACAGGACGAATTCGGCCAAGCCATGATGGCAGAGAGGATATGACAGAGTCTGGGGGTAGATTGATATAGCACTGCTTCGGGCATGTTTCCTTTCATTCAGCCAACCATAACCCTGACCACCAGCTGGGACCGGAAACACAAATATGCACACAAACGCACCTGGTCTACCACAGGGGTCTACCAGATGGGTCATATGCACTTCATCGAACCGAAGTTCATCAGTGCCTCGCCACCTGCCATTCTCTGTCGCTGCAGATCGGGTATTTATTCACTCAGGAATGGGCGCACACCGATCCATTGGTTTTTCGAAGCAAACAAGCTTAGTTTGGGCGATAGGGGTCACGAACAGGCAACCACTTACCAGGCCGAATTCGGCCAAGCTATGATAGTGTTATGACCCGCCTGGTACGTAAAATTCCGTGGAGCGTATACTCACTCGACCCTGGTCCCCAATATCAAGGCAGCGGACAAAGAACACACGGCTGACCACAGAAAGTGTATTAGGAACACACTGCAAGTCCCGTCTAGCTAAGGGTGACGCACATTTATCACACGCTAGCGTGGTTAAGCGGCATTCGGTCCAATGACCTTCGAGGAGAGGGTGATAGCAAATGGGAAGGCGCCTGATTGAGATGCCAGCGCTGTAGAGAGAGAGCAAACGCACGTGATCTCCAGTGATTGGTTGGCTTATGTTTTGGGGAGTGTAGGCACTCCCAACACCTCCCCTCCCCTCAAGTGGCGAAGGTATCCAGTAGGATGTCAAGGGGGAGTGACGGCGCCGAATCGAGCCCAGTTGTGTTACTGCAATGTCGCCGTCGGATCTGGTTGTGGTGGCGAACCCAGATGTCATCACCAACGTCGACGTCAAACAACATACTGCCTCTGTGCGATACTACGGTTGCTTCAATCCAGTCTGGGAACCCCGCTCGATAATCACGAACGAAGACAGGTGTTCCGATGGAGAGCTTGCTGCTAGCAACTGGAGAAGTCTGCGCGGGCTGCGCACCGGTTTGGACAAGGGCATGAAACGTTGTACGCAGTTTTCGGCCCATCAACGCCTCGGCAGGAGAAACGCCACCAGGGGACGCCGGGTTCGGTGTTGCCCTGTAGGAAAACAGGAATGCCTGGACTATCTCGTCCGTGGTCCCCTCCCCACGAGCTTTCAAGAGGGCTCTCTTAAACGTGTCGACAAAACGCTCCGCCTGACCGTTAGACTGAGGATGGTAGGGCGGGGAGCGAAGATGCTGGATGTTGTGCTGGCGGCAGAAATCCTCAAACGCTGACGAAGTAAACTGAGAGCCATTATCTGAAACCAGGACTTCTGGTAAGCCATGTTGGCTAAAGATGCGTCGTAGGAAGGCGATAGTGGAAGATGCGGTTGCTGGGTTCAGCGGAGCAATCTCGGACCATTTCGAGTAGGCGTCAACCAAGATTAGGTAGGAGACTCCGTTAAGTGGGCCAGCGAAGTCGATGTGCACGCGTGACCAAGGCCTCTCTGGTGGTTCCCCAGGGTACTGGCGGTTGACGAGGCGGCATCTTGGCAGCTTGCTGACATCGAGAACAGCGTCGAACCAGGTCGTCGATGTCGCCGTCGATACCCGGCCAGTAGGCAAAACTGCGAGCAATAGACTTCATTCGGCAGGTACCAGGATGAGCCGCATGGAACTGGCGTAGTACAGTGGGTCGGAGGGAAGATGGGATCACCACACGGTCTGCAAACATGAGGCAGGAGTCAACCACAGACAGCGATGCTCGGCGGAGGAAGAGCTGGCGAAGATCGCCAGCGAGAGCAGTGGTTGGCCAGCAGGTCTGCACGTAGGTGATGGCCTGGCGGAGGACAGGATCCTGTTCAGTAGCATGTCGGATGTCCGCGGCAGTGACAGGTATACCTCGTATGGCGTCTGATAGCTGACGGCGCACATCGTCCTCAATCGAAATAGCGGCAATCACGGTATCTTCCTCCGGTTCCTGCTGATTGCTGATGAGGCGAGAAAGGGCGTCAGCCTGACCAAAGTCTGTAGTACGACAGTAGCGAATGTCGAAATCGTAGCCAAGAAGGATGGTTGCCCATCGCTGAAGTCGGCTGGCTGAGTAGACGGGAATGCCCTTCTTCGAACCGAAGATTGACAGCAATGGTTTGTGATCCGTCAACAACGTGAAGTGGCGACCGTACAACAGTTTGTGAAATTTCTTGACGGCAAACACGAGGGCTAGAACCTCTTTCTCTTTGCCCATAGTTCTTCTCCGCAGGGGTTAGCGTGCGAGATGCATGCATGGTCGCCTTTTCAGACCCATCAGGAAAAGTATGTGAGATGACGGCACCAACTCCGTGGTTGGAAGCATCTGCAGCAACAACGATCGGCAGCGTCGGGTCGTAGTGCGTGAGCAGCAGATCTGAACTCAGCGTCGACTTTAGCTGGGCGAAGGCCTTTTCACAGTCGGGGGACCAGCACCAGGAAGCATCCTTTTACAACAGACGGTTGAGCGGGGCCCGTACGTCATGCAGCGATGGTAGGAAGGCGCTATAGTAGCTGATCAGGCCAAGGAACGAACGAAGTTGCGATACATTCTTGGGTGCAGGCATCCGTTGGATGGCCCGAATGTTTTCAGGATCTGGATGGCGACCAGTGACGTCAAAAACGAATCCAAGGTACTTGATGGAGTCGAGGAAGAATTGGCACTTGTCGGTTCGTAGGCAAAAGCCATATTCCTGCACGCGTTCGAGTACTGCGCACACTCAGTCTTGCAGCACGGCAGGGGAGCGACCCACGATGATGATGACGTCCAGGTACCCAGCTGTGCCAGGGATGCCGGAGAGCATTGCGTTCATCGTTTGTTGGAATAGGGCCGGGGCGGTCTTGACACCAAAGGGCAGCCTGGTGTGTTGGAACAGACCGCGGTGGGTATTGATGGTCAACAATTCGCGCGACTCTGGGGCGACCTCGATCTGCAGATACGCATCAGCGAGATCCAACTTGGCAAAGCAAGTGCCACCATTTAGCAGGGTGAAAAGATCAGCCGGAACGGGCAGTGGATAGCAGTTCGGCGTCAGCGCGGCATTGAGACTGGTGGAGAAGTCAGCACAAATGCGAATCGAGCCATTGGGCTTCTTAACCACAACGATTGGAGCGGCCCAGGCGGAGTAGGATACAGGAACTAGAACTCCCAGTTCCTCTAGACGTTTCAGTTCAGCCTCGACAAGTGGTAGGGCTGCATATGAGACTGGTCGCTTTGGACGGAAGACTGGTTGACTTCCAGGAGACAGATGTAGCACGGCCTGAGTGTATGTGCAATGACCCAGGCCGTCTTGCAACACTGGAGCAAACCGTTGGAGAATGTCTTTGGCTTGGTCTGCAAGCACTGCTGGAATCTGCACCTGACTGCAAACAATGCGGAGCGGCATATCGGCCAACCCAAGTTGTTCAATCCAGTCGAGACCAAGTAGGTTTAGATCAGACTGGGTGATGTAGCAGATCGCAGTGATGCTGGTACCGCGGAACGACACACAGCATGGCAGCTGCCCAATTAGCTGAACGAGACCACCGCACGAGCTTGTGGCGGACTGGGAAGTCTGCTGCATCGTTGGGCTGCCAAGGGACTGCCAGAGTCTCTCAGAGATGATGGTGATATCTGAGGCAGTGTCCAACTGTAGACGAACTGCATGGCCATTGAGCAAAAAGTCAACAAACTTTCTACGACCAGACGCACTGAGCTGGAAAGCGGCCAAGAGACTGAGAGAATTACCCACGGACTGGGGTTTGGGCTTGCGTTTTGACCGGAAACGGTGCCTGGAAGTAGGAGTGGCGGGGGCTGGCTTGCCTCCAGAAGCTGGTACTGATTTGCAGAACCCATCACGGTGTCCCACCTGATTACAGCTTTGGCAGCGATGCTGGCGGAAAGTGCAATCCCGGTGGAAATGCCATGCGCCACAGTGCCGACAAGGAGATGGCGGAGATCTCGACTTGGACACTTGCTTGGACCGTGTAACAGGATGTGATTTGGTCGATGTGACCGTATGAACTAAGAAAGATGAGGCCGGGTTCTGAATCATTGCAGAGTCGTGCTTGAGATTGATCAGCGATTGGCACTCTGCTGCCAGTTCTTGGAGTGTAGTAGAATTGTTCTGCTGCACTTTGGACAGGAGACGTGTCCGGATATCAGCATCCTTGGGGGACTGGAGGCCGCAGATAAATATAAGGCATTTAAACTGGTCTTCAGTGAGAGAACCGAGTTGGAAACGCCCACACTCACGATTAACAATGCCCGCGTACGTGATGAAATCATCGGAATCTCGTTTGCACAGTTGCAAGCACTGAAATCGTGTGTTGAAGAGGGATGATTGCTCACCAAAAATCTGCGACAACGTCTGAACCGTGTCCTTGAAAGTGACTTCTCGGGGATTCTTGGGGAAGATGAAGTTGGCATAACGCTCGTGTTCAGCCGGACCCAGTTTGCGAAGTAGAAGTCGGACCTTCCATGCATCGTCCTGGGCAGCCAGATCGACAGAGAACAAGTCCTCCTATCGCTTGTACCAGGAATCAAAGGTGATATGGGCCTGCGGGTCATGCAAGATTCAGTGATGCTGCCGGCAATGTGATCAACAGATTGCGAACCACCTGCCGTGCTTGATTGACCCATGGACGAGTCGGACAGCTTAACGGTGAGTGCCTCCATTAGCTTCAGATGCTGCTGCAACATCTGCTTCAAGTCTCCGTACTCGTCAGCCATTGTAGTAGAAAAACTGCGTCGCCAATTTGTTATGACCCGCCTGGTACGTAAAATTCCGTGGAGCGTATACTCACTCGACCCTGGTCCCCAATATCAAGGCAGCGGACAAAGAACACACGGCTGACCACAGAAAGTGTATTAGGAACACACTGCAAGTCCCGTCTAGCTAAGGGTGACGCACATTTATCACACGCTAGCGTGGTTAAGCGGCATTCGGTCCAATGACCTTCGAGGAGAGGGGGGTAGCAAATGGGAAGGCGCCTGATTGAGATGACAGCGCTGTAGACAGAGAGCAAACGCAAGTGATCTCCAGAGATTGGTTGGCTCTTGTTTTTGGGAGCGTAGGCACTCCCAACAGATAGCAGAGCGGAAACGACAGAGTCTGGTGGGCAGATTGCTATAGCACTGTTTCGCGCTTGTTTGCCTTCATTCAGCACTCCATGACATTAACCACCAGCTGGGACCGAAAAGACGAACATGCGCACAGACGCACCTGGCGCAGTTTGTCCACTACTGGGGTCTACCAGAGGGTCATAAGCACTTCATCGAACCGAAGTTCATCTGTGCCTCGCTACCTGCCATTCTCTGTCGCTGCAGATCGGGTATTTATTCACTCAGGAATGGGCACACGCCGATCCATTGGCTTCTCGAAGCAAACAATCTTCGTATGGGCGATAGGGGACACGAACAGGCAACCAACTAACAGGACGAATTCGGCCAAGCCATGATGGCAGAGAGGATATGACAGAGTCTGGTGGGTAGATTGATATAGCAATGTTTCGAGATTGTTTGCCTTCATTCAGCCAACCATAGCCCTGACCACCAGCTGGCACCGGAAACACAAACATGCGCACAAACTCTCCTGGCGCAGCTGGAACACCACTGGGGTCTACCAGATGGGTCATATGCACTTCATCGAACCGAAGTTGATCAGTGCCTCGTCACCTGCCATTATCTGTCGCTGCTGATCTTGTATTTATTCACTCAGGAATGGGCACACACAGATCCATTGCAATCCCGAAGCAAACAAGCTAAGTATGGGCGGTACGGGTCACGAACAGGCAACCACCTACCAGGCCCAATTCGACCAAGCTATAATGGCAGAGCGGAAACGACAGAGTGTGGTGGGTAGATTGACATAGCACTGTTTCGGGCTTGTATGGCTTCATTCAGCCAACCACAACCCTGACCACCAGCTCTGACCGGAAACACAAACATGCGCACAGACGCACCTGGCGCAGCTGGTCCAAAACTGGCGTCTACTAGATTGGTCATAAGCCCTTCATCGAACTGAAGTTCATCAGTGCCTCGCCACCTGCCATTCTCAGTCGCTGCAGATCGGGTATTGATTTACTCAGGAATGGGCGCACACCGAGCCATTGGCTTCTCGAATCAAACAAGCTTATTTTGGGCGATAGTGGTCACGAACAGGCAACCACATACCAGGCCGAATTCGACCATGCTATAATGGCAGAGCGGAAACTACAGAGTGTGGTGGGTAGATTTATATAGCACTGTTTTGGGCTTGTATGGCTTCATTCAGCCAACCACAACCCTGACCATCAGCTGGGAACGGAAACACAAACATGCGCACAGACGCACCTGGCGCAGCCGGTCCACCAGTGGGGTCTACCAGATGGGTCCTAAGAAATTCATCGAAACGAAGTTCATCAGTGCCTCGCCACCTGCCATTCTCTGTCGCTACAGACCGTGTAATTATTCCTTCAGGAATGGGCGCACACCAATCCATTGGCATCCCGAAGCAAACAAGCTTAGTATGGGCGATAGGGGACACGAACAGGCAACCACCTACCAGGCCGATGTCGGCCGGGCTATGATAGCAAAACGGATACGACAGAGTCTGTGGGGAGGGTTGATACAGCACTGTTTAGAGCTTGTTTGCATACATTCAGACAACCATAACCATAACCTTCAGCTGGGTGCGGAAAAAATACTTGCGCACAGACGCAACGAAACGAAGTTAATCAGTGCTTCGCCACTTGGCATTCTAGTCGCTGCAGGGTATGACTGTGCGCAGGTGGCGAGGCACTGATGAACTTCGGTTTGATGAAGTGTTTATGACGTATCTGCTAGACCCCAGTGTTGGACCGGCTGGGCCAGGTGCGTCTGTGCGCATGTTAGTGTTTCCGGTCCGAGCTGGTGCGCAGGGATGTGGTTGGCTGAATCAAGGCATACATACTCGAAACATTGCTATATCAATTTACCCACCAGACTCTGTCGTATGCGCTCTGCTATCATAGATTGGCCGACTTCGGCCTGGTAGGTGGTTGCCTGTTCGTGACCCCTATCCCCATACGAAGCTTGTTTGCTTCGGGACGCCAATGAATCGGTGTGTGCCCATTCCTGATTGAATTAATACCTGATCTGCAGCGACAGAGAACAGGAGGTGGCGAGGCACTGATGACCTTCGTTTCGATGAAGTGCTTATGACCCATCTGGTAGACCCCAGTGTTGGACCAGCTGCGCCAGGTGCGTCGGTGCGCATGTTTGTGTTTCCGGTCCCAGCTGGTGGTTAGGGTTATGGTTGGCTGAGTGAAGGCAAACAAGCCCGAATCAGTGCTGTATCAATCTACCCCCAAGACTCTGTCGTATCCGCTATGATATCATAGATTAGCCGACTTCGGCCTAGTAGGTGGTTGCCTGTTCGTGACCCCCGTCGCCCATACTAAGCTTGTTTGCTTCGGGATGCCAATGGATCGTTGTGCGCCCATTCCTGAGTGAATAAATACCCGATCTGCAGCGATACAGAATGGCAGTTGGCGAGGCACTGATGAATTTCGTTTCGACGAATTGCTTAATACCTATCTGGTAGACCCCAGTGTTGGACCAGCTGCGCCAGGTGCGTGTGTGCGCATGTTTGTGTTTCCGGTCCCAGCTGGTGGTAAGGGCTATGGTTCGTTGAAAGTGCAGTTTTAGCAAATAAGATCTGACATTTGCTATTATTTTTCTCCTTTTTTAAGCATACGATAGCATTTGTTTTACAATTGTCTGTTTTTAGATGAGGGCTTTTGGCAATACCTTGGAAAATAACTGAATGCCAACAACCTAGTTTTTACTTGCATGCACAGTCGAGATACAATTTGTCACATTTATGCGAAACAGGGCGACATGTCTTTCGCTTGACGGGACTGACATGCCCCAATCTGTCTCGCCTTGTCCATCGCAACATTTGTGATAAATCTTCCCACAACTTTCCCGCATGGAAAACTGTGAAATACAGGCAAATTGCAGTTTCTTGTTCAAGCTGTTTTCCAGAATAGTGCGATGTTGCATTGTACATTCGACCGATTACTCATCGTTGTAAAAGCCAAACTAATGCTTACTCGTTAACCCTGTTGGTTCTTCAATCCAAAATATTTTGACTGATGATAGGAAAAGATGACCATGTTTGAAATACTTTTCTTCTATAACTTTACAGCATAAGAGTAACTTGAATTTCTAAAGGAGCCTTCGGCCAGCTGATGCATTCTGGCGATTTATTTACGATACGTATTTAGGCTGATATCGTAACGGAAGTAATAATGATACGCACATAGTAAAAGGAACCTTGTAGTGTTGCCTTATTTACACAAGGGGCGAATGCAAAATGTGGCATGCTTATATTTAGTAGTTGGTATCAATCCACTTAGTCGATGATAGTCAGCCGTGCTTGTGGAAGAGGACAGAGATAAACCTAAGGAGGATGAAGAGGGAGTTAGAAAAACTGCATGCAGTAAGACAATCGGACGGACCGCCAAAACGGTTCTATGTGCACAAAAGCGCCTTGCCCAAAGTAAACTTTATTGTGCCCATATACTGTACTAATTTGATACGTTTTAGGGTACATAGACGGTTCAAATTAACAAATAAAGAAATTATCATCCAAATATCCTTTTGAATGGTCTGGTAATCTATTCTTACATTTTTTGAGTACAATGGGGCAGTTCTATAGAATTAAACAAAAGCTTCCAGCAGAACGGTCAATAAAAGTATTTCAAGACATCCTCCCGAAAGTCGAAAAACCGCGTTAACTTGTTAAAAAGCTTTAGTAGACCCAGTTTTAGTTTGCGGCTTCATCACGGTGGGGTTTGCTTGTCAATCTGCATCAAACTATTCAAAAATAAGGCCAAAACGCTGGCCTTTTAAAAGCATTGCACAAAGGCTTTCGTCTAAGCTGTCTGGAAAAAAATGTTAATTGCCATCTACGGTAAACATAGTCAAAAATGACATAAAAGGTACAAACTGCCGGTTTCCATAAACGGTCTTTGTCGATATTTTTCTGATATTTACGTCTACAATTTTGCCGTCAAACCTCCCCATAAGTATGCTCGTCGTCTAATACATGGACTACATTCGCGGCCGCATTTGGCTTGGTGCATCTCGGAGCGTGGGTTTAGGTGGTGCAGCGGTAATTACAAAAAATAACTTTTGCTTAGTAACCTGGACACGATTTCTATAACTGATATATCATTAGCATGCGCAGGGACATATTTATTTACCCTTGAATATCACGCGGAAATATACCCACGCAGTTTTTGCTTCAATGCATTACTTTGCCGAATGATTACTGTACACTCAAAGCACATCTTCTTTTAATCGCCTATAATAATTTGTAAATACTTTCATTTCAAAAAGATTAGTTGATAAAAATTCGTTTATGCTTACGTACAGAACGTCAGCAATGAAATCGTCAAGGTGAGTATCGTTGTGGGCGGAATTGCTCTGCTGAAAACTGCGAATTAAGCAACGAGGAGGAGGCGAAATACCGCACAGTCTGCGCCCTAGGCGGAATGAAAGAAAACGTCCCCGTCCTTGCGTATTGTGCCGAGGTTTGTTTAAGTACCGCGTCTTCTATTGTTCGCATAATGCAAACGAAATTTATGCTGCAACACTAAATCTGACAGGGACGCATAACAACCTTGATACGTGATAGATCGTCGGTTTTTGGATTTTGCATAGTATAGAACTTGAGCGTCTTGCCTGTAACTTCTTGCTTATTTATAATTAGTTGAGAATACAAAACGTTTTCTACTACAGGGGTTGACGTTTCGAATTTGTACAAAAAATCTAACTAATTTTAAAAAACGTCTACTTTGTATTAATTCACCTTTTGTGAAGTGCTGCCTTCATTCCGCGGGTCGGTTATCATCTGTGCATGCTTATATCTACTCTGCCTTAATTCACGCAGTTTTTCAAGATTGTAAGCTTCATTTAATCATGGACGAGCGTTGCCGCATTGTGAATGTCTTGAAAATTCCTTTGTTATTTGTAAATAGTTCATGATATTTGAAATACTAGCTACAATAGGCATTAACCTATTCTACTTACAAGTTTTCGGGAGCGCAACAAATTTTAACCCTAGAAGTTTTTTTTAAACAATGACTTTTGCATGTTTTGCCCTGAAATACTTAATAGCAATAGTTGTTTACTTTATTCAATGTCCTCAAAACGAGCTGCATATTCCTCATTTACGGTTCATCCGCTGAAATTCGGTTAATAAGGCTTACGAATAAACCGATAGGATATTCTGTTATGCTTTTTTAGGAAAGACATAGACTGAAAAGAGTGTTAATAATCAAAGTCGCTCTGTTCCGATACGCAATACATACATGCATACTTTTGGTAGCACTCAATCAGAGATGCAATACATTGTCACCCGTTTGTGAAAGGCTACGCGTGGAAAAAATTCCAACTTTGGAAATGTTCTTATGCCCAGTTTTCCAGCCTTGGGAGTCATGTGTGATGAGATTTGGCGATAAACAATTTGTGATAGATTGTGAAATTTTAGATACGTCAAACGGAGACTCCTTGGTTGTGTACTGCCGCAGAAGTAGTTCACTGTCACCACTGCGGACACGCGTGGAAGCGCTATTCGCAGGGAAAATTTAGTGCCCTTTATAACAAA